GAAACCCCATTTAAAAATTATATAATGTAAGTCTAAGGGAAACTGAGACTCAACTTGGGGACATTTTGACTTAGGGACACTCTTGATGCACCAATTACGTCCGCATCTTGGGGTCTCACTGTACTCTTGACTTAAAGTTCAGCATACAGTATATCCATAAAACTAATATATCCAACAATTTAAGGCCCAAAGTATAACTGCCAATTGTTTTCTGTCCCTCTAAATTTACTCATCAAAGAAGTTTCAAACTTAATTTTCTTTTTTACAGCTGACTCACTGGCAAAGCCCTCACTTCCATGCTTACTTCCCTGCTTTGACATCGTATCCCTCAATTCTGGGTGAAATGTTGTCCTGTACCTTCAACAACATTGGTTTTACTTGGGTATGTGGAACTCTTATCAAATGAAAAAATGTTTAGACCATGGACGCTGGTTTCCTTCATCAGGCACCCAAACCTTGGAGACATATATGAGAGCCAAAGCAAATTTCAGCATTGTTGAGCCATTCACTGACCAATAAGAACCAAACCTAACACCTTACTGCATAAAGCAATTTATTGTAGTTCAATTGAACTCAGACAATAATTCAGAAATGGCACCAACTCGTTAACAGGTAATTGTTAACTGCAATGCAACCCTAATCTATTGCCAGGTATAAGGGTCAAATTGTGAAGTAGCTGAATTGCAAGATAATGCCAAATATGATGTTTCCTACATCAAACTTGACATTCTGAGTCTCTCTGCAGGTTGAATTGTGGGGCAAGGGGTCAAATTGCAAGTTGATTTCCCAGCAAATTTGACAGTCAAATTTTGTAACAGCAGAATTGTGGGATTTTGAATTGCGAGGTACAACCTGTACTGCTGTCTTGACCAAAATTAAATATGGAAATGTTTTCATCATAAGATACTGAAAAACTCACATTGATTGAACTGACTGCAGTGTAGAACTTGGAATGACTCAGTTTGTACTGTACTGTAATATGCAAGTGTGACTTGGTGGTGTTATCAGTAAATGCAAAACCTGCTCTTCACACCAATTGGGTTCCATGATAGGCGTTTTATTCAAAGAGTTCTGCTGAAGAGAAAAAAAATATTTGAGAAAAATAAATCCCCACTGAGTTGCAATAAGTACTGTATGACTACATGTTTTCAGTGGTTCCTCTGACAGATGCCTGTTGAAGGAAACTATAAAGCCATTCCTGAAATGCTATTTCTGAAAGACATAAATTTGGATTTATTTCAAAGGCCTCGAGCCCAGCAGCTACAGAATTGGAGTCCCTGGTCATGGACTGGCTTGGGAAGATGATTGGATTGCCTGACGAATTTTTTCACTCTACTCCAACTAGCAATGGTGGAGGGGTTATCCAGGTCTTTCAACGCTTTAATCTTTCAAAACAATCGTTGACAACTCATTTCAATTTTTTGTCATGAAGACTACTTTGAGTGAGACGACTTTGGTCACGATGTTTGCTGCTAAAAAAGAAGCTGTTACCCGGTATTTGGAGACCAATCCTGGCAGCAACCCTGGCAACGCTTATGGAAAACTTGTCGCATATGCCTCGGATCAAGTAAATCTATATGCATTTTTAAAATTTTCAAACAGTCACTTGTCCATTTCATGGGTACCATGTCTCATTATAGCACCTATACAACAGGAACAAAAATTCCCAACATTCTGTAAAATCTTGTCGTAGCAAACCCATTGGGGACGCATGAAAAGCTTCGTTATATCACAAAAATTTGTCATAACAAAGTAAGCCCAAAATTTTGGCAACTTTGTTACTGGGAATCAGGGATGGTAAGTTTTTTAAAGATTGTTTTTCATGTCAAGAGCAAAACTTTCTCAAAACCCCCTTATATTTGGATGCAATGTTAAAAATTTGCATTCCACACTTTTTCAAGTGAAATTGCGAAGTTGCAAACCTGTTTTGGAGGTTTTTCTCAGCAGATTTCATGCACTGAAGCTACACTGTACATTTTTTGAGGTGAAATCAAGATGAAAACTCATTTTTGGGAAGTTTTGGTCTTGCTTGAAACACCCTTAGATTTATTTCTTTGCGTGCAATACTGTAGCATGAAAATGCCTTCACAATCAAACAGAATTATTTGTTGTAACTTTTGTCAACGTTTTCATCTTTTTCATAACCATGAAATAAGCGTTCATTATTTTTCACAATCTTTTCCAATTTTTAAAATGTTGGAACTAAATACAGTTGGTACTCTGCTATTTGGCTCTAATCTGTTGCTATGGCCTATGGTATTGAATTGTGAAAATTTCCAATTGTGAGACCCTGTGTAAAATTAAGTACAAGAGCAGCAAAAAAAAACTAGAAATGTGGCTGAAACAGGTCATATTTTTGGGACAGTTGACTTGCAAGTCTTGACTCTTGAGTAACCTCTCAACAAATGTCATTGTCAAATTGCAGGATGGTCACAAAGTGAGTGGGCATATTGCAAGGTACCAGGTGTATTATAAATTATTTACTGCAGAAGTCACATAATTGGTAGCATGAACAAATTCTACAGCAGGAATAATAGCTTTTGCTTATTGTTAAGGAATTAATCAACCCAACAAGAATTGAACCATAGCGCAGTGGAAGAAAAGGGGGGAAATAATAAGGCAGGGCAATCAGCCAGTTTGTGGCCAGGAATATGTAATTAAGGGGGTACCTCAATTACATATCCCTAGTTTTGTCTGGTTTAATCACAGTCCATAATAAATCACAATCAAACACAATACAAAAATATTGCATCACAATAAATGCAATAATGCATCACAATAAATGCAATAATGCATCACAATAAATGCAATAATGCATCACAATAAATGCAATAATGCATCACAATAAATGCAATAATGCAACACACATTCAATGAAGACAAAGACTTTGTGCACACAAATTTAGGGTGTAATAATGCAAAGCAACAATTCAATCAGAAGAATAGGGGTTGAATTGTTTGAGGGAAGTTTACTGTAAGAGCTAATTTTAAGGACTGATTATTGGGAGTGGAAGAGTGCTGGGTTTTTATACGTTTTAGCACAATGCTTCAGTCAGCTGACCTGAAGCATCACAATAAATGCAATAATGCAACACACATTCAATGAAGAAAAAGAATTTGTGCACACAAATTTAGGGTGTAATAATGCAAAGCAACAATTCAATCAGAAGAATTGGGGTTGAATTGTTTGAGGGAAGTTTACTGTAAGAGCTAATTTTAAGGACTGATTATTGGGAGTGGAAGAGTGCTGGGTTTTTATACGTTTTAGCACAATGCTTCCGTCAGCTGACCTGACTGAAGCATTGGATGTTTTTTCTGGCCTGTGATTGGTGGACTAAATGCGAATCCAAAAAGTCGTGCATCCCGGGAACAGGAAAACGGGACCAGAATTCAGGTCCTGGGACCTGACCTCCTTGGGCCCCAGTTCTGGCTCCCCAACACTTATGTTGAACAACTTATTTACTAACATTCTGTTAATCCGGTGATGGCACAGACATTTTTTGCTATATGTTTTAAAATGTAATCACCAAACACTTCTAGGCTCATTCGTCTGTCCTGAAAGGAACAATGATCGCGTCTGTAATGTTCCGCTTAGTGGAGTCGAACCCTGGGGATTTCAAGATGAAAGCTTCAACTTTGCAAGCACTAGTAAATGCTGACAAAGCTGCGGGTCTTATACCTTTCTATGTGAGTTGACCAAATATTTGCAATATATGCACAAACATAAAATAATACGAGTCTATGTAAAAAATAATGTTCTAATCCGTGAACATCAGGTGGTCGCTTCACTTGGATCGACGGGCGTTTGTTCGTTCGACGACTTGTCGGAAATCGGGCCGATTTGTAAGGATTGAAAGTCTCTCATAATTTTTACACTAATTTGAAAAAATAATATGCCCGTGCAGGTAAAAAGGAAAAGCTATGGCTCCACGTCGATGCAGCATATGCTGGTTCCTTCTTGGTTTGTCCCGAATTCCGATATTTAATCAATGGAATCGAAAACGCTGATTCCTTTGCCTTCAATCCGTCGAAGAATCTCCTGGTCAATTTCGACTGCACCGCCATGTGGTAATCTTGAAAATTTGTTCAATTGTTAACCCCAAGAAAATTCATTCAATCTTCAAGAATGTTTGCGTAGAGATCTAATTTCATCCGCGTCCGTTGTGCTCGTCTGGAGAAGTTCTCAATTTGGAAATTTTCTTGAGAGTCTTACAGATGTCGCCTCAGTCGACAACATACTGTCCAAAATTAAAAGTTTTTCTGAAGTTGTATGAAAAAAAAAACGGAGTGAAAGTTTAATTCAAGTGTTGATAATTTTTTAAAGCTGAATTCTAAATTTCCCTTGGTTATATTTACTGGCTACTGTCTCACAAAGATATAATTGCCTTCAGTTTAATACAGATGTCGCTTCACTCCTAAACCTGTCAGTTGATTCAAGTTGTGCATACAGCACTAGTTTCTTCAACACTGCAAGAAAGTAATTGAAATGTGGATTGGGAATAAGGATAAAAATCATCAAACTATTTAAAGGAAAGAAAACACTCTGATGAGCCTGGGACAAGGCCAGGAATTATAGTCGAATTTAAATTTAGAAGTTGAAGTTCATTTCAGAAATTGTCTCAACAGATTTTATCAGCACAAAATGTTAGAAAAGTTTAGAAAATCGTATTCAATGACAATGCGGCACTACTTGAAGCGTGAATATTTAGGGAGTGGAAATTTTCTCAGTTTTTCCTGGTTTTTCAAGTACATTAGATAATAATGTTTCTATAATTTACTTATTTCTGACTTGATCAATGGAGAGTGGAACAAGTCTCAAACTCCAAGTATCACCCAAAAAAATTAAACTTGCTTCAGATGAATTCAACCTAGCGACAGGCTGTAAAATTCGAGCGACACCTATGCTAAAAAAGTTAAGAAACCAAACTCGAAGGCAGTAGACATAGAATATTCAGGATTGGATTATTCCTTTTTTTCTCAAGGATCAGAGATCGTGCTTATCTGCACAGAGCTTTTGATGTTGATCCTTTGTACCTGAAGCATGCGAACACAGGTCAGTTGTATTTCCGGTTAATTATTTCCCAAACTAACTAATCAACTTTATTGCCGTGTGTGTTATTTTTTTTTTCAGGAAGAGCAATAGACTTCATGGTGAGGATAATTTTATTTTCACAAATTTAACGAAATTGACAGCAGGAAATCGTGAATTTCTCCAGCATTGGCAAGTTCAACTCAGCAGACGCTTCAGGTCATTGAAGCTGTGGTTCGTCATCAGGAATTATGGCATTGAAGGGATCCAAAAGATGCTCAGAAAGGTATTATCACAGTATTAAATCAATTAAAAATTAATTCATCTGTTGCTCACTTTTGTGGAAACGGAATATCAGCAAATAGAATTGGCCAAACTGTTCGAAAACCTCGTCAGAAGCGAGAGCATTTTTGAGATTCCCGCAAAACGCCATCTCGCACTCATCGTGTTTCGGTTAAAAGTCAGTTTGCAAAAAAAATCAAAATCCTGAAATTGAAAAAAAAAATCAAAATTGTTTTTCCCTCGAAAATAAACAAATATCAGGGCATGGAGAACGAAATGACGGAAATTCTGCTGAGACGAATGAACGCTTGCGAAAAAATGCATTGCGTGCCAACGTCGCTTCAAAAGAAATTTGTCATTCGATTTTGCGTGACTTCGCACAGAACAACTGAAGAGGACATCAGGAAAGATTTTGCACTCATCAAATCTTTGGCACACGAGCTTCTGGTTGAAACTGACCACGGAAAACGCAGACCTCGACTCAGCTTTTCCGGTTCGCTTTTATTTTTTCTTCAATGAGAAAAGCAATTGTGGAATTGCAAACATTTTTTATCTTCCATTTTGAAAATTTTTCAGCCTCTCCGAATGCCGAGACTTCTGCCAAAAGAAGGAGTTCTTTGTCCCAAAATGAAGCTTTGAATTGGAGTGCTACCATGGAGCAAGAAGGAACTAAAGACGAGAGGAAGATGGCTTAATCAATTTCCATAATGTGAAAAAATGCATCAATTTTAGTTTATTTTTGTGTAAGAAATATAATTCTTTTGTTGAATCTTCGCCTCAGGTTTTTCTTCAGGTGCTCTTTCGATTTACTGTGTTATTGCGCCATTACTCCCCATATCATGACGGTGTGATCGCATCATGCGACATCTGCATTCATCTTTGCGAAGTAGAAGTTACGTTACAAACTCGGGTTAAATACAACTTTCAACTTCGCTCTGCGTAATTACCCTAATGAAACTCTATTGCGATTATTAAATGTAATGTGTTGAGCTAAATCCATAAATTTGATAAAAGAAATAAAGGCAAATATAAGCTTCTCTTGATTCTTGATAATTCCTGACAGAACTTCTTTCCTAACTCTTCACTAAATTCACTGTGTATTTTTTAATGATATTCAAAAATCAAAAATATAAAAATTGAAAATTCTAAAATGTATATTTGAATCGATCGTCACTTCACATGCGGCAAGGCATGAACTCGTAATGGTACAATAATACATTTCTACAGTGGAAAAAATTGAAAATTTTGAAATTTTCCTTTTCTGCTGGATTTTATTTTACATTTTAGATATTCATTTGTTTGATATGTTAATGTTCCAGATGAATTTGCCCTGATCTGTGTAGCTGGGAAATGGTCCGAGTAAATGAAGTTAAATTAATTTTTAGGAGATCAAAATCCTTGTCTAATTCATTCAATGTCTCAAGACTCGGAAAAAATCGATTTAAACAACTCAGTTTTATATTGTTTAGATATAAATAAGTTTTCAGCCTATATTTATATCTAAAAAAATAAATGCCGAATCAAATGTTCCTCTCGACCCTTTCTCCATACATTTCTAAAAACTACAACATCGTCATTTGTGGAAAGCTGTCGAATTTCAAGCACTTGAAATGCCTCACGATAATCCACAAAAAAATTTGAGCGCTTGATCAATGAATTACTTCTTTATATTATTTCAATGTATAATTTAAAATAAAGTTGTATTCATGACGCTTCATGCTGCTCAATATCTTATTTTTTAGATGTACCACGAAGAAATTGTGACAGCAATTTCAAAGTCGTGGTTCCATTCCTGCTTTCATCCCTGATGGGTTTAGTGACTTGTAAG